TGTGGAAATGAGTGACAGTAACGTGTGCTTCAATTCACACATGCTTTAGTTCTTTTACCGAGTATATTTGCTGTAATTACTCGGTAGGAAATATTCATTTTCTCCAATGTTGATATCCACAAAGGTTGTGTGGACAAAGTAAATCCATACACGGGTGTATCGGATTGCCCTCAACGTCGGCATTTGTGCGAAAACCCAGCCTATCGCCAACTTATGGCAGAGCAGTGCCCATTAACATGTAACAAATGTACACCTAACACAGGAATGCCATCAGGTGAGCTAGTGCACATTTCGAGGAAGACTATCAGTGTAGTTGTTATCTCCAGGATGCCGAGATCTTGTCAACCCCCGAACGGGTTTATCGGATTGTCCGCAGAGGAGCTTATACTGTCGAAATGTCGCTTACCTCCAGGTCATGAGAGAGCAATGCCCTAAAACTTGTGGCTATTGTGTTTAGAGGGACTTATTGTTTTAATATGAACAATAGAAAATGCTAACATATCAAGCAGTTAGCGATTAGGAGTGGTCGTGCTTATTATCGAGCCAGCTTGATTTAGAACTTGTGCTTGTTTCAGTGTTTAAAACAGTACTGATACACTTATTGAGTGTAACTGTTCCTTGAAAGCTTCCTGATCAACAGAGATTGATTGACTTTCTTGAATAAATTGTATGACATAACAGTTCAAACCACGGAAAGATTGGAACAATTACCAAGCCTCGCCAATGCAGAAGTTGATAGCATTAAGAAACTTCATGCATTTTTCAATTTATCACCCAAAACGGTTGTCGCTGAAATATAAGAGCGCTTTCAGATAGAGAGTTGAGTGATGCGCAAAGATTCCATAAAAACTTCTGAATCGGTTGTTTACAAGTATTTTGCCGAAACCCGGTTTTAGGTGGAATCTTTATTGCCTGACATTTCGACGTTTCCGTCTTTTTCGAAGGCCTGAAACGGATCATGATCCGTTTCCGGTTCAAGGATGAAAGAACATGGAGACTACTGAATGAAGAATGTTGAAGAGTTATTAAGGTTATGTTATCCTTGCAACATTTTCCAACTACTGTTTGAATAAGAGTGTTTTCATTGATTGTTGTATTGAATGTTGTAATGAACTTGCTTATTTATTGTCAGCTACCATAGTATGTCAAAAACCACCATCACTTTTTGCGGGGCTCCTGACTTAAAACTTCACTTCTGTTGTCTTGTCTCTGGAGTATCGAACTTATGGATGTAGCTACGCACAC